CTGCGCCCACGCTGCAGGGTCTGCCCTGGGCTGAGCAGTGTGGGGGCATCCCGGCCTCCTTGGGGACCCGCCAGGGCACCTTGCCCCCCACTGCCCTTGCAGGACCCGTTCCCCATTCGGGGCAGGGGCAAGGCAGGGAGGAGGGTGTCCCGCTGCCCTCTCCGAGGGGACAGCCCAGCTAGCCTGGCCCTCGGTGCGGTCTCACTTACGGTGGAGCAGCTCCGTCCCGTCCCGCGGCAGTGACGCGGATCTCCCTCTCCGGGCTGCCTTGCTCACCGGGGCCGTGGTGCTCGGCTCCCTGCAGATGACACAGAGTTGCTGTCAGTGGGACAGCTCACGGGGTTGGGGACTGCAACCACACAGGAAGCAGGGGGCCACCAATGCAGAGCCGCAGAGATGCGGGGCCAGTGTGGGGACCTTTCTGGGACTCACAGCGAGAGCAAGGTGAGTAGAATGAGCTGGAGGGGTCTGTGGCTACGGGTTAACCCAGGACGCTGCTCAGCATCCCCTCTGCAGCTGCATCCCTGTATGCTACACAGTCACGGCCCGATTCTGCCTTCATGACACCTGTGATCATGACACCTTGGGATCATCCCAACAGAGCCCGGCTCTCCCCCCTGCCCTGACCCTCTTCCAGGCCCTAACAGAAACTGGACCAGCTGGGCACAGAGGGAATCTCCTTGCGCCTTCGGGGCTGACCGTGCAAACCGGTGCTGTCCCCACCAGCGGCGCCTGCTGCCTGGCCCACTCAGCACTACCGGGAGGAAGGGCCCGGTGTGCTCCGCCACCTACTCGGAGGGTGCTGGTTCCTCGGGGGACAGTCCGCTGCGCACCGTCTGCCTCCGCGGAGGGGCTTTGCCTTCAGGGTAGCTGCGCGAGCGGCGCAAACTCTCCTCTAGCCTCTGCTGCAGCCGCGACACCTCGTCCCGCAGTGCGCGGATGGCCCGGCTGCAGGGAGAGAGATATGTGAGGGGTGGCCTCGCAGTGTGCGGAGCTTTGCACCCTGGGCCAGGGTGACCGACACAGCGTGCAGCAGAGCGGGGGGCAAGTGCCAGCCCTCCCCTCCCGGTCAGGGCTGAGCCTTGGCTGGTTGGCACACACAGGTGGTTTCTATGGAGAACCCACAACATTCATCACACGGCTGAGCACAGGGAGCTGCCCAGCACAGTGAGGAGCACCAGCCCATCCCTGCCACGAGTTGGCCCTGTCCTCTGGCCGTGCACTTCAGCATCACCCCCCTGCTGTGGAGAGCGCCAGGAGACGCTGCCCGCACAGCCGGGTCCTGTGTTCAGGCCACCCTCCTCTCTGTCTCCCTGCAGGAGTGCCGGGCAGCAGCGACGAACATGATGGACTTCCTACCCAAGCACCTGAGAGCAGCAGGGATTTGAGAAGTTTCAGGGTCTCCCTGTAGCCAGGGCTGCCAGGGCACAGGGCGGGGGGCTCCCTTCCCTGCTCCGTTGCAGGCCCCGAGCACAGCCGGCAGCGACGCGTGGGTGCTGGGGGAGCTGTCAAGTGGCGCAGTCGCACCTGGGCTCCGCAGCCACCCTCGCAGCAGCAGCCGAGGGGGCCACCGGGTAACGTGCCCGGAGCATTTGCTAACGTTGGGCAAGGCCTTGCTCAGTCACGGTGCAGCCTCGGCCTCCCGCCCGCGGAAGGGCTGCTGGTGCCCCGCGAGCCTGCGCCGTGTGGGGAGAGCACAGTCAGCGACAAGAACGAAATGATCCTGTTGCCTGGGATGCGGTGGATCAGGGGCACGATGGCCCTTCCAGACAAGGCCAGGACCTTTCTGCTGTATTGTCCACAGCTGCCTCAAAACTTGCCACACGTCGTGAGTTTTGCGGTCTCAGCTCAAGCAGGCGACATGCCTTGGCCTCTAGCTATGAGCTGATTCTCCACTAAAGCAGTTTTCCCAGAGGGGGAAGCTGCCATCACAGGAGAAGGCACTGGGGCTGCTGGGACTTGCTCTGCACCTGGGCTCCCGCCCCCTGGGGTCCCTGTGCCAGCCAGTGGCCAGGCCTGTCCCGCTGGGAGCAGGGGACGGGCACTCACTCGCGCTCCACGCGGGAACCCAGCAGGTCGTGGTGTGCCTGGTCAGGGCACAGCGTGGCGCGGGCCGGGCCGGCTGGAGCCCTGGATTTGCCAGGCGGGGGACTGCATGAGCTCGCACTGCTCCTCTCTTCCACCGTGGAGTCCATGTGAGCTGCGAGGAGGAAATTCACCGTGAACGGCTGTGTGGGAACTGCGCTTGTTCCCCTAGGAGATGCTTGGGAGAGCAGAGCCAGCAGGCGAGAGGGCAGCCCCTGTGTGGCAGCACCTCCAGCAGCAGCCCCTGAAGAAGCACAGACAGATTTGCTGACAGCTGCAAGTCCATAAGCTGGAGCCTCTTCCCTCCTTAGAGATGAGACTCAGAAAATAAATCATTGAATAAATCTCATCCATTGCAGCTATGAAACTATCTAGGGTGGAAAATAATTCTTCACCCAGGCATGTGGTGGGGGAAGTCACTACCCCAGGGACCCATCACTCCCCGCAACGCTGGCCCCAATCTGCCTACTCACTGCCATCAGCATCGGGTGCCATGGGTGCCATCTTGCTGGTGACACTGTCTGCCCACTGGGGAGGGGAGCTGGTCTGGGAGGGGGTGCTGGGGAGCAGGTCGGGCCCCCGTGTGCTGTCCCGGGGCGCCCCATGCCCACGGGTTGTGTAGATGCCCATCGGTGCCTTTTCCGAGCGGAGCGGAGCTGCCTCTCCCTTCTTCAGAGGATGGAGGGTCGTGGCCGTGGAGATGGGACCTGACCTTCCCAGCGAACCAGGTGTCCTAGGGACAAAACGGGTCAGCTACCATGGGCCTGTCCATACCTGGCCAGCCCCCTCCGGCACTGGGCTCGTCCCCTGTATGGGTCACCCTGCAACCCTCCAGGGGTGTTTCAGGGCTCCCCAGCCCCACTCCCTTCTCGAGCATTTCCTTCCCAGTCACTGCCCCACTCTGCTTCCCCACATCCATGACTTTTGTTTCCCATAGAGCAAATACCGTTGCACCCGGAGCCATACCCAGCATGCAGGGGCCGGTGTTCCAGGGCGTGCATCAGCGGGGACACCCTGCTGGCCTCCGAGCCCACAAAGCCACTGTCCGTCTCCGGTGACACGATTCGCTGCTCCTGCAGTGAGAGGAGGAGCTGGCTCAGCAGCTGCGACACACAGGCCCGAGAGACCTCGGAGGAAGCCGCAGGACCGATGGTTGCCTCTCTGCCTGCCCAGGGACAGGGATGGACGTAGCGGGTGTCCAGGGCACCGCTGTCCCCTGGGCGCTCAGGGCCAGCCTGCAGCCCCACGTCACCTCCCGCTGACAGGGGACCCCAGGCCAACGCGTGGCCCTGCGAACTCACCTGGGCCCGTGCGGCCTTCGCCGGCCGGAG